GCTGATGATATGGAGCTTTTCCAGCTTCTCTTTCCACAGATGTAGTCAATTTGATTTCTGTATTCCATCTGGTAAGTTGCATGTATATAGCCATCTCTTATGCTGTTAAAAAAAGATGTTTGAAATGCACATATCATTGGTTTTGCAGAATTCCATCATGTGATCTTCAGCATCATTTCTGTCACAAAGGCCATGTTTTCCAACTACTGAGCCTTCCTCTTTGTTTCTAACCTTTGCATCAAATTGGCAGTGATTGTTGGTATATCACTATATGTCTATAGTAGAACATAGTGCTTTGTTTTGTTTTAATCATATGCAGGACAATTCAAACAATTCCACTAAAGTCTCTTAAAAGATGGAAGAAATACTCTTATATTTGAATTATTATACCACTCCTATTTTATAATTAATTCCATATTCATTAAAGGGATATGGTCTGTGGGATTGATTGTGTGGGGATTTGTTAATTATCAAGTAGATGTCAGATTTGACACTGAAAAGTGGCTTCATTTTGTGGCAAAATAAAGAAGCTTTCCCCATAGATTGTTAAAAGGATAAATTGCAACAAGGGAAGAAAAATAGGGCTTCTTGCCTCTAAGATAAGGTAATGATGTATCTATCTTCAAGAAGCTTTCATCTGATTTTAACTTCTGATATAAAATGTCATCAACTTGCTTCTTTAATGTGCCTCCATTGTTAGAAGCAAACTGAAATTTAAGCAATACATCGGTTTTCAAACCATCGTTACTTGACCTGAAAAACAAAATACCGGAATAAATGAGTTAGACCACTGCCACAATCATTATTATGTTTCATATACAGCATATTGCTTAAATATTAGTCATATCTTGAAAAAGTTGTAACAAAAATGCTGTTGCTGTTAAGTGCTTTAGATTAGGTTCCAACTCATAGAGATCCTATATAAGGTTTTTGAGGAGCAGCTAGTGACCTTGCTGTTCAAACCGACCTTGCAGTCCAGTGCCTTAACCCACAGTGCCACAACAGGACTCTATAACAAAAATAGTTCACACATTTTAGTGGCATACGTTTTTTCCCCCATTATATGTTAAAGTAAAACCCACTGCTGTCTTATAATCTTTACAGCACTTGGCTACTAACTTCAAGGTCTGTACACATTTACAGCCTTGGAAACCCTATAGGGCAGTTCTACCCTGTCCTATAGGGTCACTGTGCATCAATGGGTTTAATATCTGAATTATTTCTACTTGCAAAATTTGCTCATACTCATGAAGAAAAGAATATCTGAATGTTCTATCATATTAGGGTAAGACAAAGTACATGGCTATGATTCATAGAAACTTTTATTAAACAAAAATAGCAAAATGTGAAGTTATTGTTTCTAAACATATCCTTCATCTATATACTTTTGAAGGTGGTGATTCGTTCCCTCTCTCTACTACTCCCTCCTCCCCTGCAACTCTACATGTCAGAATGACAGTTTGGTCATACTTGATGTGTTCCAATTATGCTCCATTTCAATGTTCTTTGAATTTTGAAGGGGAAAAAATAAACAAATCTGAAGGAGCAAGATCAGGGCTGCAGTTGTTCCAGCAAAATTCTTGTAAAACAGCCCTTGTTAACTTCTAAGAATGAGCAGATGCTTTGTTGTGCAGGAAAAATACATCCTTGGTGCATATTCCCTGGCAATTTTTTTTTTTTTTTTTTTAACCAATGTAGTTTTCAAGTTTCCTGGAATGTGTTCATAATAAACCACTGTAGTCTTCTTCCTATATCCTTAGAAAAAAGTCTAACCATGATTATTAATTATT